TACATCACTTCTAGTTCAAAGTTTTGGAATAGAAAGTTTCAGTGTCACTTAAAGATGAATTTTCCCTGTGACAGTGGTCTATTTATCGGATATTTCGCCGAAGTAAATTGTCTTTTCCGATCTACGTTCATGCTTCGAAACTGTTGCTGGGTTTGACTTTCTCAACTTCGACATTCGGGTGGGTTTTTTCGACGAGACGGATTAAATGCAGGTTCACCACTGAACCATACCATCTTAGAGAGCTGAGGGTCATTTTATTTAGAGTGGATCAGTAATACACACATAAGTACATACATGCATACCTGAACGAGCACCATTATCATCTGTTTGAAGGTTTTGAAGCACCTGAGGTCGGTACGAAGATCGCTTTTTCAGGCTTGGAACCATGTGCGGAATCAAGCTTTTATTGACGCAGAATTCCAATGCAGCCGCCTAGGAATGCACTTTCTCCTGGCATTGCGTGAACGTCTGTTCCAGGAATTCAGGGTTTTCATCATCAGTGGTGGTAGAAACCGACCTTCCGCCGCGTGACTTGTCAAGAAGAGATCGCGTTCCAAAAAATGCGCCTTGGCTGAAGGACATGATGTCGGTACAAGCAGACCTTTACCCATCCCCGAAGTATCCACCGCAATGATTGTTTGTTGATTTCGATTTCCGGTGCAGCTGCCTGGCTGTATTCTATCCAGTTTTTCCCCAACGTCTGCACCATGAGTTTGACGTTTTCATTGAATATAATGGCGGTAGCAGGCCGATCGCCGTGTAGCTCGTCAAGAACAGATGCCGTTTTGAAAATTGTGTAATGGATTGGGATAATTTTGCTGCGTGCTGCAACAGTGACGTCATTAAACTTCCCAGACTGTCCGTGAACCGCAGTCGGGAACTGAAAAACATCCGCCGAGTCGGAAAGTTTGTAACGCTGCTCCAGCGTCAATTGACGTGCCAACAAAAACATGCGGCGTCGAACAAGTCGAATGCTGATAGTTTTGCGTCGAAAAAGAATTACCATGAAGAAAGTGAATTGTGACTTCTAGGATAATCAGTGGATATCAAATTTAGTGTAGCCTCCTAAAAATGATTTTAAAGGTAGGATACGAAAATTTTAAGCACTATCGCTGTAAGACTACAAAAAGAAGAGGATCTATGCAATGTATTATGCCTTGAGGTAAACGTTTTAGTAGACTGCTGATTGTACTGTGCTGCAGGCGAGGACTTGCTAAGAAACGTCTAAAACTTACATAATTGGGGCATTGTTTTCCCGGAGGAAATTCAAATAGGGCAGAGGCAACGAGACTAGCAGGATGTAATGACGTCATGTAAGTGTTCGTGACTTCTTATTCAAATGTATAATGTTTTTGCTTTCTAATAAGAAAAGATAAACTGTCAAGTTAAGCGTCGACCTGGAAGGCTGCAACTTGATAGGGAAAATATGCATGAGCTGTTTCCTTCTAAGATGCGGGTGCACATGGCGAGGGGAAGGGGGAGGGATGTGGGCAGTTATCGAAGCGAGGCAGTCCAGGTTATAGGGAAAACATGTTAAGCGTGACTAAAAAGGTGGTGGGGGGGAGAGGTAGAGGGCAGAGCAGCAGTCGGTCACGCGGGTAAGGGAGGAGGCGTGAGAGGGCGGAAGAGGCGATGGATCTACGTCCCTTATTTATACTCAGCACGGCGATGCGAGGCTGATCACGTGATCAAGCTGTCCACAGACTAAAAATTAAAAATAGTTTATCCAATGTTAGTGTATTACAGTAGTCGCCCCTAAGGATTAGAAAATTGGGCTTAAACAAAAAACCAATATAGTGGAAGCGAAGGTTTATCAACAATGTGATGCAGAGGTAAATCAAAAATATAGACCAGCAGGCGTTAGAGGCATCGTCTACGTGTATGTCCAAAGCAAACGGGACACGAATATATTAAAATCATATGTCACATCAATAGATAACTGATGTTCTCGCCTCAGTGCGGGCAGGACACAACAAACCATCAGATTTTGAGAGTTTCACTTATGCTTCAGAATTGCTGCTGTTTTATTTTCCTTAAATGCAACTGTTATATCTGTTTCCTGGACCAAAGAGAATGAAAATGGATTTTTTTACAGAGGCATACATTTTCCAAGAACTACAGGTCGCTATGGTTATGGAGAAGGAGTGATTTACACATTTCAGTTGGCCCAACTGTAAAAAACTCGCAGCCTTGATGGGAGTCGAAGCCACACAACAGGGCAGGCTTTTACGCAAACAACGCTCTAGCATTGAGCCACGAGGCTCACCGCGAGCCGTGAATTTAATGATACTTGGGTCGATTTACCCGACCAACCTACTGATCTTATAGAATTCACCATTACAGATACAGCATGTTGACTGCGCAGGCAGGATTTCCTTAGCAATCATCTAGAATCCTCCAGAACGACCACTAGGTTAACTTAATTATAAGGAGGGTGCGTTGGAAGATTTGAATAATTCAGGAAACCTAATTGTGAAAAACTCACGGCCTCGGTGGGGGTCGAATCCACACAGCAGGGAAGGCTTTTGCGCAGCCAATGCTCTAGCATTCAGCCACCATAGCTACTAGCTATGAGCGCAAAAGCCTTCCCAGCTGTGTGGGTACGACACCCACTGCGGCCGCGTAGGTTTCACAGTTGGGTCAATGAAATTACTCAAATCTGCCAACCCCCCCCCCACTAATAATAATCTACCAATTGAAACGTTTTAAGAGCACTAAGTCGATATGGGTACGGCCTTACCATTCTCTAAAGCCTCCACCACATCGAAAGCTTGTGGATGCTGACTTCCAGCGCAGCCACCTGCATGTACTCTAACTGACTTTACGTAAACGTCTGCTCTGCGAGCCCGGCGTTTTCATTGGTGATACTTGTGGTAGCAGGTTTTTCATTTTGTGACTTGTCAGGAAGAGATGCCGTTTTCAAAAAAGTGTTCATGCATTAGGCAAATTGTGCTAACTGCTGCAGCCATGACGGGCAGTAAACTTCCTCGACTGACACTGAACTGCGGTTGGGTACTGAAAAGAATTCACTCAATTTCGCAACGCTGGTTCAGCGTCAATTGGCGGGTCAGGTGCAAGAACAGTAGAAATAAAATAAAAGTAAATGAGCCCAGCAACTTTCAAGAGGAAGGATATCTAGTTAAATTGAAGCAGACTTCACCGAACTGGTTACAATAAGGAACACGCGCTCCCCACTTTTTGTCCCTGAAGCTGCACGCTAGTGCCTCGCATGAAGTCACATGCGGACAATTATGGAAACAGCTAGAATGCCGATAAAGGTAGGAGAGACTACTATATATATTTCTGGTTGAAAAGCTATTGTCAGCGAACCCTGCGTGAACTGTACATTTCACAGTCTCTCTCTTTCTCTTTCTCTTTGGTCATCAGGCATGTGCCCTAGGCCACTAGAGCATTGTCCTGTGGTTTGTGATCAGGAGCGAGTAAAGCGGAATCCCGGCTTACATTAATAAGGCTGTCGCTGATCTCTGATCAGACTCTATGGAGTCTAAGGTAGACACGAGGAGTAGTTAAAATCAGCCACAACTGCGTCAGTCACACAACGATCTGTCTTAAATTCCCTTTCAAAGTTTGTGGCAAACAGCCGTAGAAAATGGTCCAGTAGGACTTTCATAATCCAATCCACGTGTTACCTTACGCTTCCATTCAGTCACTGACCCAAATGTTCAAATGCAATGGGCCTGTCCAACCATGAGTATCTCGGTGTCCAGGACATGGTTATGGCCTGGTGACGGTGTTTTATTTAATATTTAACCTACAAGGCTAGTTAAACTGCTCTGACCAGCAGTGCTGTTCGGCCCTCGTTAGAGAACTTGGGTGTGGTTGAGTCTGCCATTTAGGACTAGCGGCCCAGCGGCAGTTCCCTCAGCCTGCAGCATGCGTGATCCAGGAAAAAAAGTGGCAAACACTTTTTCTTAGCGTCTCGTTTGTCTGCACTGCGAACACTCATGTGCGCGTTGGTGATTCAGCCTGGATGACTGCCTTGATCGACAACTACGTAGACGTATGTACCTCCACAACCCTCAGGCCACGGTCCAAGCGGACTAAGAGGCACCATCCATGAGCACGCTTCTGCAAACACCTAAAAGAGGCAGATCACCCATGCATAATTCTGTCTAAAACAAAATTTGAGGTCGCCTGCACAGTGCCTCCTTCGCCAGTACTGCCGGAGACATTAGATCGGGTACTTTACAGACTTACTCATCCAGTATGACGTCTCCTGTGTTCTCCTGCCAAGCAGAGGTTGAGGTGATGTTTGCAGTGACTCGCTTTCACTCATGACCTCATTTTCCACACGTTCTTTATTTGTTATCTTTGAGTGCTTCCTGTCAATTACTCGTCAGTTCAAGAAGGGCGTTTACCTTAGACTTCCGGCAGATATCGATCTCTGGGAGACCTAAAAAACGAGCTGTGGCTTTGTATACATAGTTGAACTACGACAGAGGTCAGATACGATATACCCTCTGTTAGGTCGTTAATTTCTTCTGATTGATCTCGGATACCACATTTTGAATGTAGAGATAACACTGATCCATAAAAATACGTTGTACGCTGTTTGCTATCGTACATAGCATTGTGGTCAGTTTTCTATTGTGTGGAGGGAGATTTTGACACAAAGGCATGGGAACCGGTAGTTACTCTCGTCACTGTTAGTGAAGCAAAAACACGCTAAGACTGGGATCAAGTCGTTATTCGAGCTCGGTAGATCAGTTTAATAAAAAGATAAGGACGTTACCCAGATGCTGAGTTCAATGCTGCTGTTTGAACATTTAACGCAACATGTGAATGACATCTCCAGCTGTAGGCTCAGATACGTGTGAGTTCGTTGGATTGCTGTCTGGCGAATGAACTGGTTGACATGTTGGTTGATTTTGCACTATCTTATACTCTTGCACCACTTTTTCATTACAAATTTTATATCACGAGTTAGGAAAATTCAGAATTCGAGCAAGCGCACGGGTTCGAGATAAACTGCATTCATTTCGAGACAAGTCTTTAGCGGTTAAATGCGCCCTTGATTCAAAAACAGACATACCCATTCATTGAAATTTTTATAGTATCGAAGAGACGTCTTTTTGACTAAATGAAAGTAACCTTTCTTGCTTCTTTGTCTGAAAACCCCGATTCTTGGATAGTAGCTTTCGAAGGCACTTCTAACGGGTGCCTTACAAATCTCACTTAATGCATTTGACCCAACTGTGAAAAATGCAGCGGCCTCGGTGGGATTCGAACACATGCCATCAGTGGGGAGGCTTTAGTAGGGCCAACGCTCTAGCCGGCTGAGCTCCGAGGCCCCCATCCCCTCA